CAAAAAGTATTTAGAATTTATCGAAATATTTTTCATTTTTAAGCGCCTCAACATTTGGGAATCACCGGAAAGTATAACAATGAAGTTCCTCAAGCTGGTGACATGGAATACCTTGTGTCGCCTTTTTGATCAGTTTGCCACATCGTTGCGGGGGTGGGGGGGGGGAAGGGCAATTACGCAAATAAAGTGATAATGATTCTCTTCCTATCGAAAGGTAATTTTTACAAAAATTTTCATGCTACTTCACTTTAAATTACTCTAAAAGAGAAACTGAATATCCAGCGGGACTTTGCTTTTCTCGGCACTTAATTACCCAACTCATCATCACTCGCTCAGCCTCCGCAGTCGAAATTCATTTCGTTCTCATAGGCGGCCATATTGATTGCCTAGAAAGGGATTCACTCCGGTAAACGTAAGAGAAGAAATCGTTGGACAAACTGCCCATGCCCCAGTAATACCGATTCTAATAACCCCCAAAGTGCTTTATGGGACAAATGGTGTTCACGAGTGGGGAAAATGCTATACTGTCCCCTGGGACAATGCTGATGGGGCATGTGTGATGCCGGCATCAACATCTCCAGTTTACAATTTTATTGGATAAAAATTCCAGGGAAGCATTAAAAAATATCCCTTGCATGCATGAGTTAAAGCTGGAAATATGAATGCAAAAAGATTATGCTTTTGCCAATGACATCACTTGTTTCGTAATTTTCAGCGGAGTATTACACTGGATACGACTCCAACGGCAGTTTTGTGAACACGAAGAACGCACACCATATGGCAGTGTGTGCGGTACTCACCATGAGCGGACTCGTGGACCTCGGGATCAGGTGGAACGTGGTCGTGCCGGAGCAGCTCTCCTACATCTTCCTCATGGCCGTCGGCCTCACCGACGGGTGGCTCATGAGTGTTCACAACGACGTCAGCTTCGGAGAGGGGCGGCTGGGCACTGACGTGAGTGACGCGTTTGCGTAATAAATCCGTTCGTAAAATTCAGGGTCTCGGCTAAGATTAGATCACTAACTTCTCCAAAGGATCTCGTCTCTCATCTGAAAAACAATGAAGCTACAAAAATGTTTGCAGCAAAGTCTCTGCTCATCGAGTTCGCCTCCCTCCGTTTTAAAAGAGACAGAGTCCGTATTCATCATTCTGTGTCGCAACAGTAATTAAAGGAGTTTTCGCGCTATCGTAAAATATTGTTGCTACCATTCCTCCACGAGGACGAAAAGAGGGAATTAAAATACTCCCTGGCCTCCACAGATGCATCAAGCCGCGGGGATGGACCCGATGATCGGGATACTCTTCCTGACGTGCGAGATGCTGCATCCTCGGAGCCTGGCGATCGCCCTCCTCCGCCCCATATTCGGGCTGCACCAGGGCGCGCTGTTCGCGACCATGAGCTTCGTCCTCTACCAGCCCTGCTGCCCCTGGGACGACCGGCACGTCCCGATCTTCCACGCCCTCAACCTCGGCTGCTACATGCTGTCGGCCGGTCTCGCCCTGACTGTGGCCATGTTGGTGCACCGGGGAAGCCGAAAGTCGGCCTACAAGGTAAACTCAGATGAAAATTTTCGACGGGTTATTTGACTTGTGTGAAATTGCGGCCATGATGGATTCTCTTCTTTTTTTTTCTACAGAACGGGAAATTGCCGATTCTTTGCTAGGTGATTCACGTCATGTTGGGAAAAAAAAAGCTGGGGATGATCGAGAGTTGCGTTTGTAGAAGCCGAAACGAGCAAAATCCTTGTGATAATGCGATTCTCTGTTTTGTTCTGTGTGATCTGTTATTTTGTTGTTCGATGGCAATTAAATTATTCCTTTCGACTTACCTGTTCGCTTGTTTCTACTCGAAACAAGCAAATCGACACCCACAGACTTAGGCTTACGAGCTCGGAATTATTAATTTCCAGAGAATATCGAGGGCAACGTATCACAATCGGCAGGTCGACGTTGAGCGAGAGCTGATTTTTCGGCGCAGTCATAGTGGTGTATTAAAGGTGGATTCAACGTTCCCGCAATGTTGGTATGAAACACAATTCACCGCTGAAAATATGCTTATATGTCACGTTGTGCCAGCCTCCTATTGGCAACGTTTGGCATTACCTCCTTTGCAATGAAAGGTTTGGAAATGTAAAAATAGTTCTACTTCCCCCAGGCAACTATACCACATTAATGACATTGAGAAATTATAAGTACTCTACTTTCGTCGAATTTTCGAAAGTTTTGACCCGAGTAGAAAATGAACCCGCATTCATAGGGGATAATTTTTTTTTTAAAGCGAGATAGGTAGATAAATTCCATGTTAGTGGAGGCATCTTTACACCACCTACATCCTCGACTAAGGGAAGCCTTTCAAGTTTTCATATTTCCTAATACCGACATTTTCCGATGGCCTAGGTTAAGAAGTCATTTTGAAAACAAAGACCAACCTCCTGGGCAGTGTTTCGTACTGTTTCAATGGCACTAACAAGGTGGAAACATCAATTCTTTCGTCTAAATACGGATTATTTTTACCCTTTTCACTTCTTTTTGACATTTGACCTCGGACGATCGCGATCAGAGACCATATGCTTAATTATAGATGAACTTTCAGATGTCCGGATTATCGGACGAAAAATCAGCGAGATCGGTCCGTAAGTTTCCTCTTGATTGTCCATAGTATATGCCCATAGTGTACGCATTATCGGCAACTGGAGGCCATTTGCGACGTTCGGTCTCGTCCCTGCCTTACCCCTTGACCTAGGTTCACAAAACTTCCTGGACATGGAGATACACCCACTGGGAAGTTTTTGGTGCAGTTTCGATCAACCGGTTAGAAACGTCAGTACGTACGTGTAAGTGAAGACAGTTTTGAGCTTTTCCCGCTATTTTTGACATTTGACTTCTAATGGTAGTGTTCAGAGATCATATCCTAGGCTTAAAATAAACCTTCATATCTCAGGAATATGCAGTGAAAATTTAATTGAAAACGGTTAATAACTTCTTTGTCCAACGTGGGGTGCAAAATAACCATCAATTTGACCCATTTCACCTCGTATCTGACGAACCGGGTCGAGTTCGACCCAGGCGTTATTGCCCAACACTCATGCATTCAACCCAGCATGGATGCCTGCTTATAACATTCCATGCCACCGCCCATGATTTCTAAGCACTTTCCGAACCCTTGGCTGGTCGCCTAATACGCCCTTTTTCCAAATCCGCACTGCTGACATTTTTTTTCCCAACCAGTCTTTCATCACTACTTTTGAGTTAAAAATAATTTTTCACCAATAAATGCATCTTCAGATTTTAAATAAACTCTTTCTTGAAAAATAGCAATGATAATGTGAACATTCAGGACATGTTTCGTTCACCGATCTCTCAGCAGTGATCCATCATTAATACATTCATCATCTGAAAATTCAACTATTTCATGGTTATCTCCAACTTCTCACATCTTTCCCGAGGCTTCAATGACTCCGCCTCTTTCTTTCCCTTTCCTCATGTCTGGTTTCTTCCTCATTTCCGCTTTTAGTTTAAAAGGATGAAATGATTCCACCAAAATCGTTCAGCATGCAAGTGCTAATGGAATATTCATGGAGGCAGCTATATTGAAATTGCCGAGGAGTTGGCCTGCTATTTAGTGAGAGCATAAGAAAATCTGCTTCTCCTTTGCTGAATACGCATATTATCTACTAACCGACCACCCTATCCAATGACTAGTCATCAAAAGCGGCACATGGACATGAATATGGAAAAAGGGCGTATGAGCACATATGCCCCTTTTCCAGAGAACTACTCAATTGATTCGAACCAGAAAGAACTCTACTTAGCACCATCATCCCACAGATGGATCCATCTGAGATTGTATCTTCCTTTACCAGTTCTGAATCCGATTTATTTACTTAAATGACAAAACCAATTCGGTACCGCAAAGGAGTTACGCGACTGGCATCATCCCCAGATTTATCTCCCATGCGGAATAGCCCCATAAGCCGGTTAAGTGATACGACACTTTTGGCCGAACGTTACTTTTCGCGCGCTTGATATCCCACGCGATCGCTTAACAATCCGAATTCCCAGTCATCCCAAACCCTGATAACGTGTGCCAGATTGTCGCCAGTCGCGGAAACAGCATACAATAATGTTCTTTTTTGAGTTGGTTCTTCGACATGTTGCACGAGAAGAGCGTACTGAATCTTTTAGAGAAATTCCCTATCGCTCTCACGTTCCCTTCGCGGTACCGTGCAGTCTATGTCAAGCATCTTGAGCATCTTAAGCATCTCCGAAGAGCAATTCATATACAGGAATCTACGAAATATTTACTACATATTCTTATTGATAGGAGGCTGGACGAACCTGCATTACGTTATAATAATTATGATAATAGTTATCAGCATAAGGATGATGTCTTAATGGCTTTCGGTCATAGCACAAAATGACGAGTGTTATGGACCTTTTTATCCCAGTCATTACAAGCACGAGACCAAAATCGGTTAACCTTAACAGCAGTTTCCTTTACCACCAGTCTTCGCTTTCAAGATTTGATAGTGAAAGAGATAACTACAGGATGCTCGATTTCACATTTCACATAAAATATGACATTTTTGGACTTTTTACAATCAATAATTATACATAACTTCAACGAGGAACGGATTGACACCATGAACAATTCCATGAAAGGAGAAACCGCATATGACCTTTGTTTACCCTTCAATCAGTGCGCCCTAGATACAAACAATGTGCATCTGGGGCGCTCTGATTGATCCCAGTAACATTATTGAAATGCATCTGGTTTTCAATGTGTTACTGGGATCCATTGGGATGCACAGCGAGATTGCGCAGATCCGGGTTCGAGACGCAGGGAATCCGGGAAAGGTAAGAGACACGAATGCCAACCCATTAATTGCACAGGAACGTCATGACGGCTGACGAGGAAAAACAAGTCACTGTTTTTCTCTCTCCGCGTCCTGATGCCGAAGTGAAGGACAAACCCTCGATTCGGGTTCAGCAGTGAAACAGGAAAAGCCTCAGTCGACAGGGTAGACTCGGACCGAGAGGAACAGACGAGACCGAATCGATTCAAAATGGGGAGGACATGGGAAGACAAAAGGATCTACGGACATCTGGTTGTCGGGTGCTTCTGGACCATGATGAGCCTCTGGTGGCTGGCAAAAATCCTCCAGCGATGGAGGAAGATGGGCCCTGAGGGATTTCGCATCTCCCCGTTCTACTGCGCCGGGAAGTCTGCCATCCCCGTCGAACCCATCTTCAAACTTTGCATCGGAGTCTTTTATGGCTATGGTGAGTACATCCATCGTACTATCTTCTGGGTGATGATGGATCTGTAGGTTTTCCTGCATGGTGACCAGAGGAAAACTGGGTGAATATTATGGATTAGAGTTCCATTGAGTATCGAGGCTGGGTTGGGAACCACATGCAATGTGTTGGTATACCAGAGAATCAGAATTTCTGAGGAAAACGTTGCTGCATATTTCCTGAATTGGTTCTCAAGCTTTTTTCACTCAACCTCCGTGGAGGACCGTGCCATTCATTCAGGCTAACAATTCCTATCCAATTCAGGGTTCACACGCGGCAATTCCAGGAAAATCCGATCTAGACCGTGCTCGAGTAGACAGAGAATTTTCATCGAAAGCAGAGAAAGCCAGAGAAAGGAGCAAGACAGGCAAATGCCTAGCTTCCCTCTAGCATTTCTCATTCGGGCCTCGATGCCCACGCGTCTTCCGCGGACGATTCGAAGGGAACGGGAATCTTGTCGCATCGACTTCGCCGGGACGATGGCTTGGCCGACACAGATCCCCTTCGAATTTGATGCGTACAATGCATTAGGGAATAGCCCCGACAGTGAAAACTCTTTAATCGTCGATTTAGAATTGCATTTATCTTTCAATATATATAACCATGATGAAGCTAGTGAGATGCAAAGTTTGACCATGAAAAGTTTAATTTTGGGGTCAATGTCCTCATGCGGAGGATGAGAACTGAATTTTAAATTTCACGCTCTTGACAAATACCCTTCTAGCCTCCGTTATTAAGACCTATTTCTCCTTGTGTCGTTGGACTCCACCTTGAGAAAGTCGGACTTCTTTATTGAACCAAGATATAATTCTCCTTGTATCTATCAAGATTTAGCGCTTTTCCTTCTTCCCAAAGGAATCTCATTAATTGGAATGTTAAAGTCGTAAATGTGTGCTATCTATTTGATATAGCTTCAAGCGAGAGGAATTTAAGACGGTTCAAAATAGTAATATTGGTAGAAGTTCGCCATTAACCGATCAATTAAGAATGATTGACTCGACCAACTCAAAAGTTAATGTCCGCCGTGTTGGGCCCATTAGGCTTCATATTAAAATTCCTAATTCTGACTCAATCCATGGTCACAATTAGCAGGTTCCCTAATTAAGTCTAAAAAGGCAAAAATGCTTTCTTTCTCTGGAAGCTGCTGATAGCCACACGAATGCTTTCCACCACTTAGTAACGGAGCTGCCAAAAACTGAATAGAAACTGCTGATGGCGTGATGCTTGAAAACACCGCAGAATGGCCATCCGTCATCATTACGAAGTTTAAACGAGGCTGTCCCGGTGGGCATAAACTCCGGGCACGCCTCCGCCGGGAATGAGCGGAGGAATACGCGAGCCGGATCGCCTTTCCGGTTTTCCTCTTCCCCTTTCGCGGGAATATTCCTCATCAAGGCGAGGGAGCGAGGCCCGAGCTGCGGCCTGATCCCTTCACGGTAGGATTTGTGGGTGCCGCGCGAGCGACGAGCAAAACACGATTTCACAGGAATAAAATAGCTGCCAGAGAGCTGCTACTGTGTTTGAAGATTCTTCATTGTAAATCCACCTTGAATGTTTGGACCGTTATACATGGACATGTAATACAGATTTCAATACCCCCCCCCCTTCCTCCAATACTTTATGGGACCGATCGAAGGCTTTCAGCAGGAAGTTCAGAGGTGAGAAAAATGCCATACGGTTCCCTGAGACTATGTTGATGAGGCATATGTGGTGTCAGTATCAACATCTCCAGTTTACAATTTTATTGGGTAAAAATTCCTGGGAAACAAAAAAACTCTTGCATGCATGAATTAAAGTGCGAAATTAAAGCCCATTAAGGTGATGCTATGCGTGCCACAATGACATCACTTGTTTCGCAATTTCCAGCGGAGTATTACGCTGGGTTGGACCCTAGCGGCAATTTCTCCGCCACAAAGAACGCTCACCATATGGCGGTGTGTGCGGTACTAACCATGAGCGGACTCGTGGACCTCGGGATCAGGTGGAACGTGGTCGTGCCGGAACAGCTCTCCTACATCTTCCTCATGGCCGTCGGCCTCACCGACGGGTGGCTCATGAGTGTTCACAACGACGTCAGCTTCGGAGAGGGGCGGCTGGGCACTGATGTGAGTGACGCATTTGCGTAATAAATCCGTTCGTAAAATTCAGGGTCTCGGCTAAGAGTAGATCGCCAACTACTCCAAAGGACCTCGTCTCTCATCTGAAAAACAATGAAGCTACAAAAATGTTCGCAGCAAAGTCTCTGCTCATCGAGTTCGCCTCCCTCCGTTTTAAAAGAGACAGAGTCCGTATTCATCATTCTGTGTCGCAACAGTAATTAAAGGAGTTTTCGCGCTATCGTAAAATATTGTTGCTACCATTCCTCCACGAGGACGAAAAGAGGGAATTAAAATACTCCCTGGCCTCCACAGATGCATCAAGCCGCGGGGATGGACCCGATGATCGGGATACTCTTCCTGACGTGCGAGATGCTGCATCCTCGGAGCCTGGCGATCGCCCTCCTCCGCCCCATATTCGGGCTGCACCAAGCTGCGATGTTCGCGACCATGAGCTTCGTCCTCTACCAGCCCTGCTGCCCCTGGGACGACCGGCACGTCCCGATCTTCCACGCCCTCAACCTCGTCTGCTACATGCTCACGGCGACTCTCTCCTTGACGGCGGCCGTGTTGGTGCACCGGGGAAGCCGAAAGTTGGCCTACAAGGTAAACTCAGATTAAATTTTTCGACGGGTTATCTGCTTTGTGTGAAATTGCAACGATGATGGATTCTCTTCTTCTTTTTCTACAGAACTGGAAATTGCCGAGTCCTTACTAGGGAATTCACGCCATGTCGGGAACAAAAAAGCTGGGGATGATCGAAAGTTGTGTTTGTAGAGGCGGAAACGAGCGAAATCCTCGTGATAATGTGATTCGCTTGGTTTTATTCTGTGTGATCATTTATTTTGTGGCTCGATGACAATTAAATAAATCCTTTCAATTTACCCGTTCGCTTGTTTATACTCGAAACAAGCAAACCGACACCCACAGACTCGGGCTTACGAGTCCAAAATAATTCATTTCTAGAAAATATCAAGGAATCACGACCGGTACGAAGCGAAGTCTGATTTTTCGAAGCGGCAATGTTGTCATAACGGTGTGTGAAAGATGGATTCAACGTTGCTGCAATGTTGAAACGAAACACAGTTCAACGTAGAAAATACGCTCATATGTCATGTTGTGCCACCGTTTGTCAACGTTTCGGCATCACCTTTTCATGAGCTTGAACGCGCGCTTACAATTATTTCTAACTAGAAAGATCTCTACCGGCAGTGAGTACCATCATCCCACGGATGGGTCTTTCTTGGAACTTAATTATTAAATAATTAAACTTAAATATTGAAACTTAATTTACTCGATCTGAATCCGAGTAATAAACTTGAATGACAAAACCAATTCGGTCCCGCAGAAGGAGTTACGCGCCTGGCTTCATCCCCAGATTCATCTTCCCTGCGGAAGAGCCACATAAGCCGGTTAAGTGATACGACACTTTCGTCAGCCGAACGTTACTCTTCGCGCGCTTCATATCCCACGCGATCGCGGAATGATCCGGATCCCCTGAAGTTATCCTGAACTCAAACACAGTGCGTCAGATCGTCGCCAGTCGCGAAAACAGAATACAATAACGCATCTTTGTGAGTCGGCTCCTCGCCATGATGTACGAGGAGAGCGTCCTGAGCAAGGCCGGCCCTAGCTATTTTGGCGCCCTGTGCAGAGAACGACACCGTCACTGCCACCGCCACTGCCCCCACCCCCCAGCATGGAGAAGGTTCAATTTCGAGCGTCTAAAATGACGCCGAAACTGAAGGTATTTCCACTTTCTGAATAAAGCTGAGAATGGCATCCATTATTGCTTTATGCATTCTGTCACGTTTTGGCGCCCCTGGTGAATTTGTGCCCTGTGCGGGGGCACACATGGCACATGTCCAAGGCCGGCCCTGGTCATAAGTCTCGAAGAGAAATTCCCTATCCCTCTCACTTTCCCTTCGCGGTACCGTGCAGTCTAAGTTAAGCACCTCCAAAGAGCGATTCTGAAACTTCTCGCTGATTCTTCCCACCAGAGAAAAAAAAAAAAGACACCGTCCTCTCGGGAAGAGTTTGGCGGACTATAGAATATACGAATGACGACCCTCCCGGCCGCCCTCCCGATCTCACACCATAAGTGTTCAACAGTTAGTCGAAGTGAGATCCTCCCTAATGCGAAAGCCGAGTTCATTTCTAGCATACAGTATGAGTCCACCCTTTCTGCCGAGCCTATCTTTACGCAAGATGTCGCACGCTTGATTCTCAAATTTTGTTTAAGTATGCACTTGTGGAAAAATGCACGATGAACCGATGTCTCTCCTGCCCTTCCTTCATGCCAGTAAGAGGTCTAGAATGAGTCTTAGTGGGTGGGCCTAGTTCGTGAGTCCTGGCTCCCCCCCCCCCCCCCCCCTGGTCCACGACCCTAAAAAAGACTCCATTCCTTTCGTGATAGCTGACACGGACGACTCCAGCTCCATCTTTCGAGAAATATCAGCTTAGCCCTTAGCCGTCGGACTATTACGATGCCTCAGAGCCCCCCTAATGCCCAGGAAAGACGCCCCCTTCGCGATGCACAGCTCCCCGAACCTTTCGTTAGCCCCTTCCGACCTCGACCACGTGATTCGCCCCTCGTCTAGCCGACTTGGGATCGCGCATGCCGTCGCCCCCACCCCTGAGCTTGCGAATGCCCCAAGGGGCTGAACACAGTAGTGGAAAGCGAATCCATATCAGACTCCCATGACGGCATTGCCACACCTTCCCTCGCTTCCCGTCACAACGTTTCCCGTTTTCACAGATCACTCCGACAACTCCGACCCCGCTCCGACCTCCAAGCCCCTCGCTGCGGCGGCTGTCATCGAGACGCACCTCTAACACAATCGGGCCAATCCTATGCTTCAGGCCGAGAGCACGAAATGCCCAAAAGCAGCCGGGTGTAATATCAGCCCAGACCCAGACTCATCGGACAGATTCGAACCTGGACCTTCGGCGTGCGAGCCCGAGTCCTGATCCACAGAGCTACGGCGATCCGAAAATATACTAATATTTACTAATAAAAATACATGCATAATTATCTAGATGACTTGCAGGCCGTATAACTTCAAAAAATATTTACCACAAAGAGGCGAAACAAAAACTAAAATATTCAGTAGCATTTCAAGTTGTACTGCAAGGATACCAAATTCTTTTTCTTTTTCTTTCTGCTTGCAGCGCAGGAGTCACGCGAATAAGAACGGCGGATTTCACGGGAAGGGACAGTGCGTTTCTTGGTTCGAAGGTGCATGTTCTCCAGGAGTACCGAGTACGGAAAGGAGCCCCGTCGAGACCGTCAGTTTATTGCTCGACGCTGGAGCAGCAAACGGGGAAATCGAATGGCCGCGATTTTTTCGTTTGTTACGGCTTCCAGCAGCCGAAACTCGTATGGCTTCAATGTGCGTTGAAAGTACAAAAGCAACATCGTCCTCGCCGATTCTGTTTATGCTGGGCTGAAATTTTCGGTCTTGACGAGAGCCCCGTCCCGTGCTTCGTTTCCTAAAGAAATACGAACGAGTTCCTTTGAGCTACAATAGTGCGCTGGGCCTTCTGGGCTACCGCGAAATCCGCCTTTTTCGTTCGCGCGACTCGCGCGCCGCCGCCGCCGCGCAGTGGGACGAAGACATTTAAATGCGAGCCCAAGTCTTCCAGCTGCAGGTTTGATTTGACATTTGGAATTGAAGGAAAATTCAAGGCAACCAATGGAACAATGCCGACAGGCGACATTGCTTCCCAATTGAATGCGAGTCAATTGATTTTTCCCTTGATTTTCGCAATTTTTTTTTAAAGATGAACAGGGCGACCGTTGCTCACGCAGCACACGACCCGGAAGTATGTCGGTCTGGACTGGGATCGACCGCATGGATCCGGTTTCGAGCAAAAGGAAAAACCGCGAGCGGTAACGGATACGATTGCCGCGTCATTGTTTGTTCATCAGCACCATGATGGGTGGGGAAGAAAAACGCGTAATTATTTTTCGCTTTCCGCGTCCCGATGATGAGTCGAAGGTCGAGCCGACGAATCTGGATCCTGCTCTCAGCGACGAAACCGGAAAGGCTTTAGCTCGCCGAAGAGACTCCAGGGGTTCGCATATCTATTACCTGGTGGAAAACTCTGACTTCGAATAATGACGCAATTATGCTGTCGTCTAAGTTTGAGGACGTGCGTTTTGCAGGCAATCGTTATGGAGGAAATAAGAAGAAATGGAACCGACTTTACACGAAGTGGTACATTGTAAGAGCGATATAGACGGGAAAAACCCAGAAAACAGTTTTCTTCCTCGCGACCGGGATCCGCGTGGACGCGGCGAACGAACGAAATTGAAAGAAACGGAAGCACAGGGACACTCAACCGATCAGGAACGCACTGCTTCGGCACCCTATCGCGAACGTCACCGAGAGTGAATCGGAGGACGCAAGGAGAAACGTCTTCAAGACTGGCTGCATCTCGACCCGTTGTACCCTAACGGCGAGTTACTTGCGAATGAAGGATTCACCACGGAACGTGCTAACCTCTATCATCGAGGAAGAACAACGGCACCCACCGCCGAATGGGTAGCTCCTAGCGACACTATCAATCGGCAGTATCCATCAGTTTTCACTTAGGTTCGAAAATGAAGAAACCGAGTGCCGACGTCAGCTTTGCATAATGCATTTTGAGCATTACTCCTCCTTTCTCATTATTTCCATGAATACGACCTCCCTTTCGGGATCCTAATGACAAGCGAGTGAAAAAAATGCCCGTCATCGCAAACAGGACATAATTATCATTGATTTTCCGTAAAGCAATTACCATCATGTTTCGCAATAAATTGTTACCATGACGAAGTATTAAGTAATGATAAACTCTTTTTTGTGAATATGCAGAAGACTGGACAGTCAGCGTGCTCATTCGGCAAGAAGAATTTAATCCTAATTGTGGAAAATGTGAAAAGGTGGTAGAAAAAATTTCTCGTGCCAATTATCATTTAATTTTAATATATATTTTAAAATATTTCACTATGAATTCTTTGAGGAGGGGGGAGGGAAGAATTTCTTTTCGTGGTCTATCATTTTTGTTTTGATGCCAACTTGCATCATGCAATTGGAGATTAAATGCATAATTAAATAATGAAATTCTTTTTTTTATCATTTACTTTCTTGCTAATTCATATCGCAGTCCTTCAAGCCGACGACAAAAACTGGAAAACGCACCTGCATCCTCAGAGGAACAATTCCCAGACGGGATTGAAACAAACCCTTATATGCAGAAGTGATTTCAGCAGCTGATATCAATTGGCTTCGGCAGCCCTATCCTATTCCCTATCATCAATTCGTTCCCGTTACAATATTCCAACTCCTCGTATTCCTCTCTGAGAGCATCTAGAGGAACGAAATTTAGCATGCCTCAACACAGGATTGTTCCAAACATATTTAAAGCTCCATTTCGGCTTCCCTTCCCCCCCCCCCCCCCCCCCCCCCCCCCCCCCCCCTCCTC